TAGTGAGCCCACTGTATCCATGGTACATCCAACAGTTAGTACAGGACCTGCATCTTCTCCGATAAAAGTGGAACAGACTACTAGTCTTGATGCTCTTAAATTAGAGTTCTCTCTTGTACAAAATGCCATCAAAGCGGGTAAGAAGGATCCTGCTATTGTTCAGCGTGGCCGGTCCTTACAGTCTAAGATTCAAGAGACTAAGCAAAGACTTCAAAGTGATGCTGGGTTCAGACGAGAGTACTTGTCCGCCATTGCCCGGGAAATAAAGACAGAGAAGGTTTATGAGCAACAGCTAGTGCAGGCTGGTAGGACTGGAGAGGCTAAGATAATACAAGGAAGGAGGAGAGTAATGGAAAATGAAATATCTAAAATGACTAAGAAATAAATATTTGTGTGGATTATTAGTAGCTGATAATTATAGTTTATAGAATTGTTAATAAGTATTGTATCTGATTTATTTTTATTTACAAAGCAGTTATAATGTGTTCTTGATTGTGATAAAAAGATACAGGAGATTGCAAAATCCTTGCAACAAGAGTTTTAGTTGGTTTATCATATTTATTTTATTGAGGATAACAACTAAGTAGCTGTTACTCCCTTATAAGAAAGGCAAGCCAGATTTCAAATTCTACTCTTGTTGCAAAGATAGTGCAATCTCCTGTAGTACTATATACTATAAGATAAAACCACAGTGGGTGTTTTAGAGTGTAGATTACAGATTACACACTCCAGGGGTGATTTTCATGGAAAGGAGTTGAGAGATTGTACCAATTTAGAAAGGTGACCTGGACAAGAAGCAATTTATGGTAGATCCTTATTCATTATTATTGGTTCATTGGTTTAGTTTTATAGGATAAAGTGAGCAAATGTCACATGATTTTACATTAATATTTTTGATCTTACATGATGCTCTAATGATCTGCTGAAAGACACAAATGCTTATTTACAACACAATAGGAAGTAAGTACTTTGATTTCAGATGATTAATTATTTACACATGCCTTTCTATTTTTAATTTCATTCATTTATCTGTGATACACAAACTCTTATCTACAACACAATAGAGAGTAAGTACTCATCTATTTTAATTTTAGATGATTGTTTACATGTGTATTTATTGTCCTTTCTACTTTTAATTTCTGAATCATTCATTTATCTGTAATACACAAACTCTTATCTACAACACAATAGAGAGTAAGTACTAATCTATTTTAATTTCAGATAATTGTTTACATGCGTATCTATTGTCCTTTCTATCTTTAATTTCATTCATTCATCTGTGATACACAAACTCTTATCTACAACACAATAGAGCGTAAGTACTAATCTATTTTAATTTCAGATGGTTGTTTACATGTGTATCTATCATCCTTTTATATTTAATTTCATTCATTCATCTGTGATACACAAACTCTTTTTACACAATAGCCAGTAAGTACTAATCTATTTTAATTTTAGATGATTGTTTACATGCGTATCTATTGTCCTTTCTATCTTTAATTTTATTCAATCATCTGTGATACACAAACTCTTATTTACAACACAATAGAGAGTAAGTACTAATCTAATTTAATTTCAGATAATTGTTTACATGTGTATCTATTGTCCTTTCTATCTTTAATTTCATTCATTCATCATGATACACAAACTCTAATTTACAACACAATAGTACGTAAGTATACTAATATATTTTAATTCAGATGATTGTTTACATGTGTATCTATTGTCTTTTCTCTCTTTAATTTCATTCAATCATCTGTGATACACAAACTCTTATTTACAACACAATAGAGAGTAAGTACTAATCTTTTTTTAATTTCAGATGATTGTTTACATGTGTATCTATTGTCTTTTCTCTCTTTAATTTCATTCATTTATCTGTGATACACAAACTCTACACAATAGCCAGTAAGTACTAACCTTAAAATGTCAGATGATTGTTTACATGTGTATCTATTGTACTTTATATCTTTACTTTCATTCATTCATCTGTGATACACCAACTTTTATTTACAACACAATAGAGCGTAAGTAGTATAATCTATT